AATACTCTCAAAGTGACTGGAAAAGTCGTATGTGCCTCTCAGCCATGAACGCACATAATTCGAAAATAATTGGCTAAAACCACCGTGGATGTCGCCATATATTTTTGGAGGCTTTGTAGTCCTTTATGTGTTTAATGACATGCTCTACTTTTATTCTATACTTTCTGTGATATTTATTTTGCCTAGTAGCTAATCGGCGAAGTCTTCGAGGCATACGCCTCAGTTGCGCTTGTCTCCACGATATGCGAAGGGGACGACGAGCAGAATATCCTTTATCTGCAAGCAGCTMAAAGTTAAAAGGAAAGTCTAATGCTAATCCAGGTCCTATCGACTGCGCTCTGAGATAAGTCCCAGCGTCATTCAAATGACCTGGAAATCCAGCTTGTATGATGCTCATCAAATGGCGATGTCTGTGCCCATTGTAAAAGTTCTCTTGATTCTCCGAAGGCCGATTTATTGGGGTAAATGTCCCAWCAATTGCTCCCACGGCGTTGGGAAAGTGTCTCCAGGTGCCTCGAAGATTTCTCCATTCCTGAATGCTCGGCCACGACACGAAACAACGAAAATGGTGCCATAAGATTGGAGCAATCTGATGAAGTCCCAGAAACTGTAGACATGCTTACATCAAAAATACAAGCCAAGAAAGCAAGACTAGGATATTTGCGTAGCCATATCAGTACTAACAAAACCCGGTTAGTTACGTCAAGTGTATATGGTCTGCCTTCTCTGACTCTGGGTTCGGTGCGGTTTCTCCTTGATATAAGAATTTCACGACGAACATTATCAACCAGTTCAGTTAAGGACTCGAGTGTCTCTCCGGACAGCAGCCAGAAGATATACTCATGTCTCGAAAACATTCCAAAGACATCTCGCCCGATAAAATCATGCGAATTGCGACTTAAAGGGAGAAGAGACTGTGGAAATGGTTGATTTACATATTGAAATATTGTCGGTGGAAGTATGTTGACTAGAAACTGCAATATAGCACAGGACAGAAGAATTTCGTAATGGCAGTCTAAATCCAGAGACTCTTCAGGGAGTGGGGCCGGTAAAGTAGATATGAAATGGCAAAAGATGTAACACAATTGGATGAACCTGATGTTGTCCATATTAGTTGAATCAGTAAGATTCTGCGGCGCACTGATTTGTGTGCAGTTTGCTGCCATTAAAAAAAAATGAAATTCAATACCATTGACCAATCTGCAGAGCTTACTATTATTTGTATTTGTGATACAAATCATACAATCAGTAAAAGTACTTGCATGAAATAAACTTGAAAGGTGACTCTCCAAACGCGTACCAGGTACCTCCTATCTTTAGCGAGAAACTGCATTAATCCCTCTCATCTGTAGTCGCTCATTGTTAGATCAAATGCTTTGGTAAAATGAACAGTGCGAGCACGTAATCACGCATTTATGTCTATTGGTGGTAGCACGACTTGAGCGTTAAAATTTTAAGAGTTACGTAACTCTTTTCACGAAAAAGACTTCTTTTATTCTATTCTTTKTTGAATTTCATTATAATGCCAGCATATTTATAGTCRGGCACTAAACCTGAAATATCACAAACAGGCTTGGGCGTATCGAAAGGAGCAACTACTAGTACTCAAAAGGAAAATCCACTGTTTTGCAATGTCGAAAGTTTGGAGGCCGTGGGATGAGCCAGGAACTTCTCAAACTACTTCGAAGAAAACAGAAAGGCGTAAGTTTCTAATGTAACTTACTAATGAAATCTCACGGTCTTGAAAATAAATGCAAATCTGTTCCACTTTCAGTGAAGAAAACACCGGGAACGTCCGAGATGTCAGTTATTAAAGAAGCATGGATCAGTGAAAGAACCAGAGGTTGGGAAGCAGTAGCATTATGCGCCAAAGAGTTGATTTTAAGCTCCCACCAAGTGCCACCAGAGGTTWAGACCTACTACRAGAAGTCTAAGYTAACCGCCATTGCGTCCAGGTGCCAGAGGTGCGTTAAAAGTAATGTCCATGTTGTGAATGCGGAAAAGCAAAGTAATACACGCGAAAGAGCAAGTGACGAACAAAAGAGCAAGAACGAAAGTTCTATCCAGAAGAAAGACAAGGAGCCCCACAAGCTTTCACAGAAACCGCAGACATCGTTTTTAGGTGATAGCTCATGTGACGAGAGAAATGCCGATATGCGATATGCTGACATTCAATAACCAGAAGAAAGAAGAGATAGAGAAAGWCGAAACGAGCGAAAAAGGAAAGAAAAAAAGAGTGACGAAAAAAGTGATAGCGATAGAAGTGACAGCGACGAGCCACGTACCAAGAAAGCCAAAGACAAGTCCAAGTTGCGGAGAGAGGCTCTTGAAAAGCATTCTTTGATGTGTAATGCGGCTTTAAGTACAATGCAGAAAATGCAAGGGCTTTTCGATAAAATTGAAAATAAATTTGAAAATTTASAGTTGTAAAAGGAGTGAGAGCGAGAGACAAAAAAGTCGTGTCTAGCTATCGTTAGCGTTCCTAGGAATTTTCTGAATAGTGTTAAGACTGGTGTGTGTTTTAGTGTAAATGAAAATATGTCGCTTTCTAAGAGTTGTGCATTTCATATGTTTTATGAATTTCTTGTATTGACCATAAAGAATTGATTTGTGTAAAAATGGACTTTTTTTTTCTTAGACCATTACAATGACTTTCCCAGCTGTCTTAGTCATGCAAATATACGGTTTTCACGAGTTCACACCCGCGTAAAACGTAGCGTAAAATAATCGGACTTATGAGAAATCTCTAATAGGATAGGTAAGTAGATAAGTATGTAGGGAGGATTTGCTATTGATAAATTATTACCAGATCTGTTGTTGCTCGTGGGCGTCCCGGATCTTTATGCCTTATTTCAAGTGGGGACAAAGCCCTATTCAACTAAGACCTAATACCAGATAATGCACGACAGCATCATACTACRCCTTATTGACACAATTTTATTTTATTTTTAAATGGTCGAAGGCACTGCCCGTTGTAATTAATATTCAATCTTTATGCAGTACTAATAAAAAATAAATTATAACTTTWAAAAAAATTGTAAGGAAAAAGTTCAAAAACGTTATCCAAGTCAAGAATTTGGTATCGTGGAATTAATATTATAGAGTTTTTAACGAAATAAATTTTTTTTACCACTTTAACCTATATGTAAAAAACCAAACCAAACCAAACCAAACCAAAGCAAAAAGTGCAGGGTTTAGAGAACGAATTTAAGGAATTTTCTCGTACCCAGAGCCTCTTCATTTCCAAAATCGGAGGACCTGGGAAAACCTGGCTCCCGATAATATCAGCCACATAAGTACAATTTGGGGGTCTGGGACCTAGTTTTAAACTCTAAAAGCTTCAGGACAACTCCGTTTTTCAGTGACGTCATTCCTACGTCAATTTTTCAGATCATTTGAAATTGTTTGGATTTTTTTTTTTTTTTTTTTGTTTCATTTGTTGGCTTGGAAATCTACAGTTTAAAGAGGAAAGTTACACCTCAATTAATCTATTACCAAAATTTTCAAATTTTCAATGTTTTTGCTCACCCCACATTGTCTGTTTTGCAAAGCATGCGCACTCAGTTGAACTCTTCTTGACTATTTTGAACATTGGTTAGAGTGTTTATGGCATGCCGTCTAATAATACCGGCTTTGACAAGAACAATTATGCACCAAAGGCTTTTTTGAACATATCGTGGCCTAGCGTGGTGTAAAACGTAAAGTGAAGGGGAATAATTAAAGTAGAAAAGGGAAACATAACATTAATGGTGAACTGTCTTTTTTTTACTGATCACACCAGTGTTTGTTTATGGCTCGATCTGCCTTGTTTATTCCAAAGCAAAGTATCGTATCAATAATAAAACCATTATAAACTACTACATTGCAATCGAAACCTGCAATCCATACTCGTGTGATAAGACATCAAGTAATATCGAAAGCGGTGCAAACCTGAATTAGTATCCCTAGTTAGAGTTGTCCCGAATTTTTCTTCAGTTAGTTTCGGGTGAAATATCCGAGCTCCAGGGCGAGATTTTTTTTTTCAAACTAAAGTTATGATTGGCTATGTCTTACCTCGTATGTAAAAAAATATATATATATATATATAGAACTCAATTGGACCACATGGGATTCCGGTGAAGAATGTTTGGCCGGTAGTAGGATATAAATCTCGACCGCGTTAAATAAACGGTTCTCGAGTAACGAGCGCCTGGTTATTTCATATTTTACCCGAGATGGAACTCAGTTACCCATGACAGCGGGTGCTCAGAACAGGGTTGAGGGGAGGGGAAGGGGGGCGTTTAAGTGTTGAGTGTTGCCGGGTGCAAAGCTTGCTTCAAATGCACAGGAATCTCATTGCACAATATACAACTGCTTCATAATGAATAGGTAATTAAATACATTTTCCTTTCTTTTCGCTACAATTAAAAAAGAACCACTAGTTACCCCCGTCGGTTTCATGTGTTTCATTCACAATCTCATACAGGCAAAAGTAATTGCACTCATACAATGCGAATATATATATTTTTCAAAATAAAGATTTAAAGCTTCGAATACCGATTAACCAATGTATTAAGAATACATATATACATATGTACATATATATATATATGTGTGTGTGTTAAGTGTAGAAATCAATTTTTAAGAAGGAACTGAAGACACATCTTTTTAAGAAATCATATATTTCTAGATTATTTATTCATTTACTTTTTTAACGCATTGTATGTATGTGTATATTGTCACACTTTAATTGCATGCATATAATTATCATTAATATATTGTAATTTAGTTAGTTTAAATAAAATTTTATTTATTTATTTATTCTTAACATTTTTGTAAAGCGCATTTGATCAGATACTCAAATGCCTTTTTGCGCTATAGAAGCATGAAAATTATTATTATCATCATCATCATCATCATCATCATCATCATCATTATTATTATTATTATTATTATATGTGGAATACAGAAGACGTGGGTTCGATTCCCGCCAAGGGCATTGGATATTTTTTTCTTATTCTCTCAATGTATTAAGAATTAAGTGACACCAATTCTACCTAGTCATTACCTTTCATGAGAAGCACTCCCTCACATAACAATCACCGATACCATGACTGAGCCGCATTGCAATTGGTCTAGTTGGTATCTTATACTTGACGTAATGATTCTGTACTAGACACCGTTCAAGGGCCGAGCACGTGTGGGAACCATTTAGTAGCCGTTGCGCATGCGCACACGACATCTTTACTTTCTTACGATATGCGATTCCGGTTTCCATTGTAAAAAATTGCCCATACATTTGGAATATTTGCTCGTTTCGGTCTTTTTCCTCTCTTTCCAAAGCGAAAGGTTGTTCTTAAAAGTAAAGTTATATAGCACAAGTAAACTGCGTGACAAAACATCCTAAATGACCCGTAAATCTTCTGTTCTTTTGCTAACTAGTAGTTAGCGTGTTTCAGCCGAGGCTACGAAACCTAAGGAACCATAAGATGCGAATGTATAGGCTAACAGATAGTATGAGCTTATAAAATCAGCAAAAATACGTTTCTTAATTTTAACAAATTGCTATGAATTATATACCAAAATGGTCAGGAAAGTTCGGGATTGTCAAATCCACTTCTGTTTTTTTCTTTTTTTCTTTTTATTTATTTATTTATTTTTCTTTGAAAGGTTCTGTTTTATAGCAAGACGATTTTCTAGCTTGACCCCGGTTATGTCATGCATTTTCTCTTGTAAAATACGTCTCAAAAAGTACGGTGGCTTTTTTCAATAGAATTCAATCTAAACCATATAATACAGTCCGTGACTAGTTGAATTAACTGAATCCACTTCTGCTTTTTTTTCTTTTCTTTTTTTTTTGCCTAGATAGTCATTATCAAGATCAAAATAAACCGTGTTTTTGAGACATAATTTGTATGGGCTCACATGAGGGGGCTTGAAATCGTAGCTGACCAAATGTTAACATATTTTTTCTGATGATTTTTGCTTTAATTTTCCTCCAGCCTCMCCCACCCCTCCTCTCAAGGCATACATAATGAGCAATCCTTTAATGTGTATTATTTATTGATAGTTTTTTTCAACAACAAAGCAAAGATAACCGCTACAAGCCATTGGTGCTGATGTTGAACGTCGGATGCCGGAATTTATTATTGTGTGTATTTTCCTCCATTTGATGTCAAAACATAATCCTTAAAGTAGACGATTCATTCCACTTAAAGTTTATTTTGATTTCGTGTGGTGTTGAGGTTCGAATAGATTATATCAATGGTTATGGTGCTTTAGTTTGGCTAAACATGATTCATTATGCAAATTGGACTCGTACAAAAGAACGAATCGATCGTTATTGAACGGATTTCGAGAATGATCTTGTGTAGTTTATGGATCAACAAGCAGATGGGAGATGAATTGGCAGCTATTTTCAACACTCTTAAAACAGACTCGATCTATTGGGCAAGAACGGGAATGAATTAATAATAAGAGCACCGTATTGTTTTTCTTGTACGAGATGAAAACTATATTCTCAACATTGTGTCGGGGTGATTATGGAGCCGTGAAAATTAAAATAATTGTCATAAGCTTTCTCGTTTCCATTGACTACAACCTTTATCGTTTCGATTTATTTAGTAATTTACCCACTATTAAAAGATGACGCTAAGCTTGGATGTGAGAAACCTTTTCTTTTTTAGAGTAATGATCATGAGTTCTTAATCACTAACTGATTTGGTAATGTAAAACTTTGAATCGCATTTCATTTTTTTGGTAGCTTTTTTTTTTTTAAATTAAATTTTTTTTTTAATAGCATTTTTTTACATTTAAGAACTTTTATCTCTCTCAGGGCATGACAATTTTTAGATTAGAATGAAAATAATAAAAAATAATAATAATAAAATAGAAATAAAAATAGATCAATCGTTTCAGTTCAAAAAAATATTTGTAATTCGTAACGGTTTCTCGAGGTAAACTTAATCTGAATCAAAGTCAAGCAAATATGGTATATTTGATTTTAATGAGAAAGGAAAACCATTCAAACGAAACCATAGCAATACCATTCTACAGTATATTGTGAAGCCCAAAATGCTTTTATTTTTCCCAGAAGAAGGCTCATTTCAAAACGAATGTTTTTCTTTGGACTATAGTTAAAAAACATGTACAAATAACCCTGAGTGCAAATATCCTGCGATATTTGTACTTGTTCCAGGCTTTCTCCTACTTAGTATAGTTGGATAATAATCGTAATCCACTATAACCACTAGCCTAAAGTGTTCCATTCTAGTCTGCTCGGAGAATAAAATCTTACCAAATGAAGCGGTCACAATCTTTCATCGACCTGCATCATCACTTAGATAACAAGCTAAGAGGTTGAATCTATATATATAGTAAAGAATTACATAGATAAATATATAGACGGGAAAAGTGCAGATGAATTACCTTGATCAGCTGATCGTGTTCCTTGGGCCACCATTGGTATACTTGCAATTACAACAACAGCCACTCGAAGTAAATATGAAATCATCTCCACGAGAGAAGTTTTGTTTTCTAGACGTGAATCTCAAAGGACTCAATGGATAAATCCGCGTGGTAAATTACCGACCCGATGTACTATACAACGGTAATCCAATGCTTCTTAA